AAAAAGCAATGATATGTGCGTTCGCTTCCGCTTTTATACCCGCATTGATAGGCGGGACGCGGAATGTAAATCCCGCATGCCAATATTTATTGGCTCGTTTTAATTCACTCGAAGGCAATTGGTCTCCCTAGCGTTATCCCAATTCGTTGGAAACTCGAATTATATATATAGCCGCTCTGCAGTAAACCGTGATGTCATCGTTCAGCTCAGTTAAGTTCTTGTATAATGGTGTCAATGCCGGCAGATCAATATTATAGTTGAATATTAAATTAAATGTTAAATTTAATGTCCCCAACTAAGCTAGCCAAGCCAGTGGCAACAAAGGTGGAAAAAAGCGACAGTGGCAAGGAACCAAAACTCCATCAGGTGGCAGAATGGAGAAAAAAACCTTGGGAGAACCCAGGCTTAGGGGGCCAGTTCTCCTTAGGGGGCCAGTTCTCCTCTGGCCAATGAAGGAACAGAGTATGGTTATGATTCAGGCAGCATTATAGGTCAGAAGTCAGATTGGTTTGGAACAATCAGAATATTGTTCCATCTGGTTGAAGATCCGAGTCACGCCGGCATGAGACGAGTTTGTCGAGGATCAGTGCTGATGGCTGTCGTGGCGATGAGGCCTCACAGGGGAGAGTCTAGTTGACACAATCTCTGCTGACACTTCAGGGAAGCGTTGTGGTCATGTCTAGGCGCAGGTCCTCCATCTGATCTGGATACGGCCTGGATCCAGCTGATTACAGTGAACCTCGGAATAAGCAGAAAGACTAACATTAGCGTAGATGCCACTCTTCGGTAACACTTTATTTTACGGTGTCGGTGATACAGAGTTATTACTTAATTACTTACTTAGTAGTAGACATTGTAATAACATGTAACAAAATGTAATTAACATGTAACTAAGTTATGGAACAGCCTGTACTTACAGATTGTAATTACACTCATGTAGTAGGCAGCTACTGTTACACATATGTAACAGGCCGAGTCGGTTACATATGTGTTACCGACTTGGTACAATGTAATTATATAAGAAAGTACTTTGTACTACTCAATGTAACAAGTACTTAAATATGTTACTATGAAAAAAAGCCTGCAGTTACACATGGTCAATTTGTACCTTCTAAAATAGTGTATCAAGGTTGTACTTAAGTGTACTTCATGTGTATAAGGTATGTAGATACACATGAAGTACACTTAAGTACAATCTTGATACACTTTATTTTACGTAGCTTATCCCTGTGTAATATTATGTAATTGCAATGTAATTAGGAAGCTACCGCATGCATTTATGCTGTGAATGAGGGAGTTAGGCCTAATTCAAACTAAAGTACATATGGATAAAGTTTGTAGATACACATGTAGTACACTTAAGTACAATCTTGATACACTTTATTTTACATAGCTTATCCCTGTGTAATATTATGTAATTGCAATGTAATTAGGAAGCTACCGCATGCATTTAAGCTGTGAACGAGGGAGTTAGGCCTTATTCAAACTAAAGTACATATGGATAAGGTTTGTAGATACACATGTAGTCTACTTAAGTACAATCTTGATACACTTTATTTTACGTAGCTTATCCCTGTGTAATATTATGTAATTGCAATGTAATTAGGAAGCTACCGCATGCATTTAAGCTGTGAACGAGGGAGTTAGGCCTAATTCAAAATAAAGTATACTTATGGATAAGGCTTGTAGATACACATGAAGTACACTTAAGTACAATCTTGATTCACTTTATTTTACGTAGCTTATCCCTGTGTAATATTTTGTAAAATTTGTGAATGTAATTAAGAAGCTACTGCATGTATTTAAGCTGTAAACTAGAGGGTTAATTCAGATGGATAAGGTATGTAGATACACATGAAGTGCACTTAAGTACAACCTTGATACACTTTATTTTAGAAGGTACAAAATGACCATGTGTAACTGCAGGCTTTTTACCTTAGTAACATATTTAAGTACTTGTTACATTGTACCAAGTCGGTAACATGTATGTAACTGACTCAGCATGTTACATGTGTAACAGTAGCTGCCTAATACATGAGTGTAATTACAATCTGTAAGTACAGGCTGTTCCATAACTTAGTTACATGTTAATTACATTTTGTTACATGTTATTACAATGTCTACTACTAAGTAATTAATTAACCCTCTGGGGTTCTTCGGACCAAATGGACCCGAAGAATTTAAATAAAAAAATGTGTAAAATCATAGCTTCATCGGAATGGTCCGAAATATTGAGGTCATGATCCAAGCATGCTAAGTGGTCGTCACACTTCTGCTCTTTGGTCAAAAATGACCCCCATAGGAAATGAATGGGAAATTGTCAGAGTTTTTTTTTTTTGCATACAATCTACAAATCAGCCAGGATGCAGAAAAAAGGACTCAACAGTGAAGGGGTGAATCTCTAAAACATCAAGAGTGCAAAACAGACACACACACATACACACACACACACACACACACACACACACACACACACACACACACACACACACACACACACACACACACACACACACACACACACACACACTGTATTATATATTTATAATAATCTGTATTATAAAGTAAAACTGGCACTTCAAATTACCATTTAAACCAAACAAACAAACAAAAAAGAAGACAAAAATAGTCTTTGAGAATCTGTTATTATATTTTAAAATCAACAACCTGAAAAAAATTGTCAAAGATGTGCAAAACTCACAAGAATTCTGAACCCTTTCTACAGAGAGCTGTAAATCCACTAGTGGTAAAAATGTGCTATTGCGTGATAAAAATGCTCAGTGTGTCCAGCAGATGGCATCCATCTCATTTCAAAAATTGTTTTCATGAGGCCTAGGCTTGACTCTAAAATGAAATACAGCTTTTAAAAAAAATTAAAAAAATACATATTTATAAAAAAATTATATTATATTCAATGGGAAAAAATTTGTCATAATTATTGCATAAATATTAATTATAAATCATAAAATTTTCTCAAAACACCAAAAAATAAAAGAATTTTTTTTATAAAAAACAAGTAAAAAAAAATATATATATGATTTTCTTTTAATAAATATGAATCAAACCCTTCCGGACCATTTGGTCCCGAAGACCCTGAGTGTGACCCTGAAATGAAGGACCCCAGAGGGTTAAGTAATTACACTGTATCACGGACACCGTAAAATAAAGTGTTACCCCATTCTTCTTATGATGTAACGGATACATTGGGTGTTATAGAAAGTGTTCCCGTTTCCGGCTGACCAAATTTATGCAGCATAATAATCATTTAACTGATTTGAATAATAGGAATGTATAGTGTTCTATGTGTATGCCAGGTTAAAGAGATGTGTTTTTAGTCTACATTTAAACTGACAAGAGTGTGTCTGCTTCGCGGATAATGTTAGGAAGACTGTTCCAGAGTTTAGGTGCTGAATAGCAAAATGATCTACCGCCAGCAGTCGATTTTGATATTCTAGGTATTATCAACTGGCCAGAGTTTTGAGATCGCAATAGACGTGAAGGACTATAATGCGTTAAGAGCTCGCTCAAGTACTGGTGAGCTAAACCATTTAGTACTTTGTAAGTAATCAACAATATTTTAAAATGTATAAGATGTTTAATAGGGAGCCAATGCAGTGTTGACAGAACCGGGCTAATTCGGTCATACTTCCTGGTTCTAGTAAGAACTCTAGCTGCTGCGTTTTGGACTAGCTGTAGTTTGTTTATTATGCGTGCAGGGCAACCACCCATAAGAGCATTACAATAATCTAGCCTTGAGGTCATGAACACATGAACTAACTGTTCCGCATTTTTCATTGAAAGCATATGTCGTAATTTAAGATGGAAGAATGTAGTTTTACAGATGCTAGAAACGTGGCTTTCAAATGAAAGATTGGTATCAAAGAGCACACCCAGGTTCCTAACCGATGACTTGACAGAGCAGCCATCAATTGTTAGACAGTATTCTAGGACAGTATTCTAGGTTAGTACGTGCAGAGGTTTTTGATCCAATCATTAGAAACTCTGTTTTTTTCAGAATTAAGTAATAGGACATTACTAGTCATCCAAATTTTTATATCAGCTATGCATTCCGTTAATTTCTTGAATTGGCAAGTTTCGTCGGGGCGAAATTGAGTCCCTCAATTGTCCTCAGTGTGGAAAGATGGATCTCAAAATCACACAGTCACTGCTGGAAAGGGTTAAAGTAGGCAAAAGATCCTGGAAACCTGAAGAATTTGCAGGACCTGAAGGATTTTTCTGAACAACATTGGGCAGTTTAACTGCTCAGGACAAACAAGGGACTCAATAACAACCATCACAAAACAAACAAAAAACAGTCGTGGATCATCCAGGTAACGACACACTATTAAGAATCAAGGGTATGTACATTTTTGAACTGGGTCATTTTTTATAAATTTAGCTATTTTTTGTCTTGTGGACTGTATGTAAAATATCTTGATCAGGACAGTACGAAATAAAAAATAACATGCATTTTGTTTGATCTCCCTTATTTTGTTAAAATTAACATTTTGCAGATTCTGCTAGATGTAGGCCTATGTAAACTTTTGAGCATGACTGTATTATTATTATTATTTTTATTAGTTGACACTAAATTTCTATAATCCAAAAGCTAAAGGTGAAAATTGTATGAAAATATATTTTTATCAGTGATGGACAGAATGAGTCGATTATACAGTAGTTGCTTTTTAGCCTATTATTTGATTTCCTTTCTGTCGAATAACACATTTATTCTAGAGTCTAATTATTATGTTCAAGTCAGAGCGGGACAGTGGACCTTATCAGTGGTCATTACACAAGTGTTCAATACATGTGTGAAAATTGACCTTTCAGGTGTTTAAATAAATACACCATGTTTACATTAATATACCTATGTTTTATTTGTGTGCTACAGTACACATTAGTTAATCACATCCAAAACCAGGGTTTGCATTTTCCAGAGGTTTTTTATTTCGAATGAGTCTTGTTTCTTTATGAGGCACACAAAATCACATGACCGGATGTTATTTTTTTCTCTGCACTAAGCAGAACAGTATCAAATACACAGATACAGTATATACATGCAAATACACTGTACTGACATGCTGACTGAGCTGGACAAACAGTTTCAGATTTGGATCTATTATTGAAGCAATGAAATTGCATGTTTGCTTGTTTGAAGTAGTCAGTGTTTGATGAGCAGTGGACTCTAAGCCCCTTGAGGCAGGACGGTATCCAGCACTGGCTTGATGCTGGTGATTGCTTTGTCCAGGTGTTCGCCAACGTAGGGCCGGAGGTAATGGCCATAAGCACCGAGAAGAGCCAAGCGAGCTTTGTCCACCACAGGCTCCATCTCACTGACCAGACCGCTGGAAGAAGCACACATGGATTTACTCACAGTTTCCTCACATGATGCCGTAAGAGCCATATGACTAGTTTGAGGCAGCCCTCACCTGATAATTTTGACGGCGCTTTCCATTCTTGGGCTTTTCTTAAGTTCATCATAAATCTCCTGGGCTCTTCCTCCTGATGGTGAGCTCTCTAGCATTGGCTGAGCTGAGTCTTTGACCTTTTCCCAAGCAGTGACAATCCTCTTAAAGAAAACTGCCTTCAGTCCCTCATATTTCTCAACTAACTCCTTGTCAGGCTCGGGCCATTGCTGTGCCCAGACACACACCGACACTACAAGAGGAAGAAAAGACCTTGAGAATGATATAAAAGAGCACCGTGCCCACCTAAAACAGCATGCTTACCCACATTCATTGAAGAATTTCTGGTTATTATGTGTGAAAACAGAGTTTGGACCAGAGAAAGGTCTGCACGATTATGGCATGTCAGTCATTCATTTATACAATACTAAATGCAAATAGACTTGTGACTTATTTTACTTCTTGTTTGAATTAAATCTGCCTAAAACTTCCATTAGGGTCATAATTTTGATGAGCAAATCGAAATTAACAGGCCTTCTGTTCTAAAATATCTTTCTTTTGTCCAGTTGTGCACCAGTTAACAAAGAGATCCAATTTTTAAGAACTAGTTTTTACCTTGGAGTGCAAGGATGAGAGCAAATGTCAGCTTCATCTGGGAGAGGAGACAGACATTTAGACATGATATGCTTGGAATATATGTGAATATCACCAGTTTTCACTTAAAGTTTAACATATATTTACAACTTACATGTATTTAAAACAAATGTATAAACAGTCAAGAAAATATGTTTATAATGCAATATGCCTTGTTTTGCATTTGCGGAAAAAAAAGAGAGATGCATTTCAATTCTTTTTAAAATAGTGAGGCATTGTAAGTAGTTTATCCCCACGTTAATGCATGAATGCATGTATAAATAAGAGCAACATACTGAAGACTCACTTTACCTTGTGCTAGTGAGATTCCTGTAGAGAGAAATAAAGGACTGGAGTCAACTGCACCAGCTGAGTCTGCAGTTATATTGTCTGCCGTCCATCCCTATATCTGCCTGACCGCTTGACCAAACAAACGTCATCACACACACTCAATAACTCACAATCAATCACACACTCATGCTGCATGTATACACACCCACGCGGGTGGACTTACTGTTCCTACAGGGCAAACATGTCCACCATGGTTTGTCCACTCAAAGTCCACTGTTCCCTGTATGTGTATTATTAAGGCATATGAAATCCCTAATTAAAGACGTTTATGTGTTAAAGAGTGTTTAAAGATGCATTAAGGATAAATGTATACACTTAGCAGGTACTTTTATACAAAGCAGCTTCGAAAGTAAAGCAATGCAAAAAGAAAAGAAAGAAAAGCAAAGCTTTATATATATATATATATATATATATACTTTTTTATATTAATGATATCCTTTCTTTTCCACCCATTATTAGAGTGATGTTAGATGTATAAACCTAGAGAGAAACATTTCAGTTCAATTCAAATTTATTTGCCTTCCACAATACTGTTATTATAGTTTTGGGAGACCTAAAATATTTCACTGGTTTTCCATTGACGCCCTTTTGCGACCTCTTATTTATTAAAGCCGTTGATGTGAGTGTTTAAAGATAAGTTAAGGATAAATGTAGACACTTAGCAGGCACTTTTATACAAAGCAGCTTCAAAATAAGAAAAGCAATGCAAAAAGAAAAGAAAGAAAAGCAAAGCTTTATTTATATATAGTATATTTACTATATATAAAAGAAAGGATATGGTATATATCCCAACAAATGATTAAATATGATCTGGAAAATATTTACTTTTTTTATTAACCATATCCTTTCTTTTCTACCCATTATTAGAGTGATGTGAGATGTATAAACTCTGTATAAACTATAGAGTCCTAAAATATTTCACTGGTTTTCAATTGACCCCCTTGAAACCTTTTTCGACCTCTTGGGTGACCCTATCCCAGCTTCAAAAAGTCCTGCCTGTAAAGTACACATTTTAGTAGTACGTATTTCCCCGGGGTTTAAACCCAAAATCTTGGCGTTGCTAGCACCATGCTCTAGTTGAGTTACAGGAACACAAAGATGAGACAAAAGAGACATTTTTGTAACAGTTGCAATCATAAATTGCATATGATGGCTTTTTTAATAAAAAGAAATGCATATTAATATATTAAATATGTGAATATACTTCTCAACACAGAAGTCTCAAACTGAAAGGCTAAAAAATGCATTTTTTAGACATTCAAATAAACTTTTCTCATTTTCTTACACATTTTCTTAACCTATTCAGCATTAAATTTACTGATTGTGCTTGGACAGCAATTTAATTTTTTTCTTCCATGAGAGCCAGAATCAATATTCTTGACTTTAATGTACATAAACTAATAAGGTTTGAGCAAAGCCTGTCCAAAGGTTGTGAAACGCTTTCAACATGCCAAATTGACAGAATCAGACCCAGTGAACTTTCCACTTTGGAACATAACGTGTCTAATCTACAACCCGTGGACCTTTCTTTTCTTTCTTTTTACATTTTTTAATTAGATTAAATATCCTTATTTGTATTCTTTTCATTTAGCATTTTTGTCTCTCATTTTCTTCCTTAATTATTTTCCCATTTCCTACTCCATCCACTGTTTCTCATTCAAAGATTCCACAATCTATTTGTTCTGATATTATCCAGCACTTTTATTAGTTAGGTGTTAAAAGGAAACATTCTTACAGTTTAGTTGCACTTTTTACATTACATCATGTTTGCATTATTGCAATGGAATGACTACATTGGTGGTATGATTCAGTGCATTAATTCCACAATATCAGTATACTTAAAACTTAAGTGAGGTTTGATCGGGAGTCTTTTTGTTCCCTAAAGGTCTGTTCTGCTTATTTATCTTGGGTTGATCTGAAGGTGGGCACTTTTCTTTTCAGTCTCTCCCAAAGGGAACTTGCACCGTCTTTAGCCCACTCCATGTAAGAGTCAGCTACAGGTTTGAGATGGTCCTCAAAGTACATGCCAACGAAACCAGCAGCTGTGCTGCCAACATTTAGAACTTTAGTCTTTGTGTCCCTGTATCAGTCAGACACACAAACAAACAAACAAACATAAATCAAATAAAATAACATGTCCACACTAAATTTTATCAGTGAATAAACATTATGTATTAGCTGTACCTGTACACCTGCTGTGCTCTTCCAAGAAGTCCAGCATTGTCTGGAGCAGCAGAAGGCAACGGGTTGGACAATGTCAAACACACTAGGGGGGGCCGTAGATTTACAGATTTTAAAATAAGTTGCATGATAGATATTTCCATTGATTTTTAAAATCTATATATCTTTAGTCTTTTATATCAAAAGCAGCAATACATAAAATATATACGTGCATAGACAGACCTTGCAACATCACCACCAGAACAAAGAGCACCAATCTGGACATCTGACAGAACAATCAGTTGAGTTCATCAATTGGTAATAATAGATTTGGAATTTACATATACATTATTACAGTGTGGTGGTAACAAGTCAAACTTAAACATATATAGTACATATGTACCTTTAGAGTGAATGTAGAAGTGGAGAAGTATGTAATAATTTTTTTCTTCAGAAGAACTGTTTGCCAGACGCAATGTTGTTTTTCTGAGGCTTTTGCGATGAGGTTGTCTTTAGTTCAGTGTTTTCTTTGAAGAGTGCCAACTTGCTCCAGCAATGCTGTATTTGTATCAATTCAGACAAACAGATCACACCATTTCTGAGTAGGCACTGTCTGCTGTTTACTCAGCAAAAACAAGCCTTTGTGGAGTTTGGGGTACAATTTTATATTTATACATTTATATATATGCCTATATAAAAAAAATATATAAATGTAAGTAAATAAATAAAAATCACAATTATATTTTATAGTATATATATAAGTATTTATATATTTCTCGGGGTTTCATTTGTGGGGTGTTCACTTGAAGGTGGGGTCGGGGTCCATAAGGCTTTGAGCCATTTGACTTTCTCCATTAATCTTACGATATTTGAATTCGTTTTGGCCAAAGAAAATGCAAGAAAGATATGGAGAATAATATGCAGTATCATTACCAGATCAGTTCAAAAGCATGATGGTTTTTGGTTTAGCAACGCACACAGCAACCTTCATGCTGTTGAACTCATCTGGTAACAACTACATATACACTGTATTGTTACAATAATTTATATGAACAATAGTATATTGGTAGCATATTGGTATATATTCATGTTAAGTAGATGCACAGCAAAGCCTTCCACAAAAGGTCTATAAATATTAGATTATTATATAGGCTATAAGCATGATTCCTGTTACCAGCTGACAGTTTTTCAATGACTGTTAGCACATATGGAGGATGTTTCAACCTTGATCCTTTGAGGTAGGCCTACTGAACAGAAAAACAAGTTTACATTTGTTGCATTTAGGCCAGAGAAATTCAATAGTGGGATGTAATTCAAAGAAAAGGGGTCAGTTAGTCAGTCCTATTGACTTCTGAACTGCATGGCTTGATATTAATCATGGGAATGTAATGATCATTAACTGAGGACAAACAGTGACTTTAGCCTGATGTGGTCTGATGCTAGAAGCCCTTTGACCTATGATTTGCAACTTTGCATACTGGTTTATATTATATATTGATTGACCCTTTATTGATTGGTGTTATATTGATGCTATGGCATCATTTAGTTAGTGTGTGCCTGTATATTGCTCTTTATTGGTTTATCTGCTTTTAGAAATAACTGACCAAACTACGAAAATTGATTTATAAAATTATGTAGCATATTCCTGTTATGTAGGTTGATACAAATATAAACAATGAATTCAAATTTATATTCAAAATAATTCAATATTTCATTTTTAATATGCACACATTTCAAATGAAACAAACACAAACTGGTTCTTTTTTCACTGTTTATTGTTTTGAAAAAAAAATTCAGAATGAATTTTTAGATTTCAAATGTTTCCATAATATTTAGCAGCATCCTACAAAATTGTAAGATACATTACAGATTACACAAATGACAAGCAGATCATCACAGTTTGAAGTCGTTTTAAACTGTAACAAATGCACCAGTTGGCACAACAGGGTGGGGGTGATATCATATGACAGAGTAATTGCAGGGTTGCAGAGATGAAGGGTATGGTCATTGTTTTTTATTTTATTGGAAGGTTTCAGACATCTTCTGCTTCATCTTCTCATACTGCTCACTAAACCAGCTCCTGCCAAGACAAAAACACAAAAATTCATGTTAGAAAAAGCCACAGAAATGTGCAGCAGCTGCAGTTCAAATACAACATAACCATTTTAATAATGCATTTAATAAATAAGTATAACATGTAAAGTTAAGTTACATTTTATATTAAAAAAAAGTTATGAATTATAATGATCTTACTTGGTTTTAGTAGCAAACTCGCTCTGATCCAACTGTTGAAAGGTGGTCTTGGTCTTCTCTGTCAGGTCCTCTGCAATCTCCTTCACCTGGGTCTGGAAAGTGGCGAAACGCTGCTCCAGTGTGGGCTCATCCTGGGCCTCTGTTTAAATTTCAGGTAAACATTGTAAATGCATAAATCTCATTTGTACTGATGTAGAATAGCATTATATACTAAGAACTGATGTTTAATATGTCTTGAGAATATTTTATCTTAAAAATCAGATGGACAATTACCTGTGTGTACAGCAAGTACAAGCATCAGCACGGCTGCAGCCAGGTACAGTTTCATCTTTTCAGTCTTTTCTGTAACACAGAAAATAAAACGAGTTTAGAGAGCCAACGATTACGGACAGTGCGGTCATTTCGACCGATTTAAGATCAAATTATTTGATTAATAGGCTACGTCACAAATGAACGTAAACCTATAAGTCACAAACAGTGCGTAGACGTTTTTCCCCCGTTTGTTATTATGTAGGCTACTTCGTAACTGTTTTAAGCGAAATATATATAATACAATTATATATTACAATTTTAAAGAACCATCTGCTTCAACGAGAAGAGTTAAAATAACCTATTTGATAATTTGTGCTGAATACACGGAGACGTTCGCTTTTGGAAACCAATGCAAATGAAGATAGAAAACAATACAAAATAAATGCGCTTATTCTAATGCATTCAAATGCACCATTCAAAGCATTGTAATTGTTAAATAGCCTAGGCCTACTGTTTTTAATTAACATGGGAAATAAACGTAAAAGCTGCTGAATATAGCCTACAGATGCTGACAAGCAATGACGCCTAGATGTCGCCAATATACTATTTATTTACTTAAGGTAAGAAAAGAAAGTCTGTTCTATTGCTCCACTGAAAAGCTCGGTAGATTAGCTCCTTACTCTGTTTAAAAAATTAGAAAGTTATCACGAGAAGAATAAATTTAATGTAGCCTAAATTGTCATACCTTGCTTGTAGTCCTCAAGAGAATTGGGTTGAGATTGTGATGACCCACAGATGGCTTGGCCATTTATAGCTGGACTGAGCTGACGTAGTGTGATAACGCCACCTCTGACCTATCAAGACCAACTGTGGTCATTCACTCTTCCCGTAGGCCTACATCTCTGTTGTTCTTCTTTCTGTTTTGCCATGTCGCCATGGCTCTAGTAAACATCTTAGAGGTGAGTAAACTGTTTGCCATAACAGCTGCATATTCTCATTTTGTTCAGTTATTCCTGATATGCATAACATTAATGACTATCAGTTCCATTTGAAACAGTCAAAAATGAAACAATGTTTCAAAACAGTAGGCATTTTCTTTATCTGGTACTCTGGTGCACAGTCACTGTATGTTACAACTTTAATTCATTATCAGGGATTTTACAACTGCTTACATGCTCTTCTCAACACTTACACACTTTCTAAACTCTTCTGAAAGTCAAAACAACAGTGTCTGTGAACTATAAATTCAATAAATCTCTCCTCAGTCAAATTCCTCTAGCAAACCTCAGTGTCTACTGCCCCATTTTGCAAAAAACTTTTAAGTTATGCTCAAAAAATAACATTTACCTAAAATAGTATTGTGCTTCATTGGCAAAGTCATTACTTGTTGAATATACAAGATAAAAAAAGGATCTAAAACTTTAGTTCCCATTGTAGCTGAGAGCAGTTTTGTTAATATTGATTTCAGTACTACCTATTTAAAGTGTTCAATAATAGTCACGCTACGCTATTGTATGGCTAAAACTGGAACTAATGCTTGGAGGAACCTCTTATCTGTAATAGAGAACGCACCATTTATTTGTGTCTATGGAGGCCTTGTACCAGGCGAGGAAAGAGAGGAAGTGGGCAAAATGCCAACATTTGGGAAATGCAAACAGATAGCAAGCATGTCACCTCATGCTAAGATGGCATACCTTCACCATTCCACTTTGCTGTCAATTCCTTTTCCCTAATAAAAGATGACTGCCCTCACGAAAAATAAGTTGATTCAAGTGTTCTATTAGTATACTTATATAAGAAAGTATACTCTCAGTCTACATTTTATATACTTCTCAGAAATATACTTAAAATTACACTTAGGTGTACTTGACTTATACTGAGAGAAAAGTTCAAGTATATTTGGCCTGTACTTGTACTCAATCTTTTGATCGAGATATATTTAAAAGTATAATTAGGTATTCAAAGTATACTTGGCTTGTAGTTGTGTTAACTCTTTTGATCGAGTAGCCTATTAAATATACTTTTTTTACATAGTTTTTCATATACAGTCTTATGAAACTTACATTGTTTGAAAATATTGATTCGAATATTGATATAAAACAGATATGTTTCTAATTCTGCGTATCTGAATTTTTGTGTAGGCTAGTCCACTGGTAATGTAGGAATTTACATTAATTCTACTTTACTCTTTCCCCACCATTGACTGAATTTTCCAGCTATCCATGTTTTCACTGTTATACGGTACGGGGCGCTATTACACATCTTCTAATACAGAATCTCCGGATCAAAACGCAGGAGAAGAAGCAGCTGAAACAAGTGATCGAAGATTGCTCACTCAAATGTAAAATAACGTGATCATCAAACATTAAACAGCATGTAAATCAAAACTGCTTAATGTTACCAAATGAAATGTCGAACCCATGAAGAGAAAACGACTGTGAAGCTTTTTTAGGTTGGACTTGATCTACTCCATCTGTTTTGATCATCGTTCTGAATCTATGACAAAAATGTGATTTTCTCAGCTTTTTTGTTTAAAATGTTGCCTTTCTTTATGAAACTTACCGACATTTAATTGTTGATAAAAAAGGATGCATGAAGCTAATAAAATGTTTTTAAAATGAGTTAAAGTAGCCTAGTTATATTTTTCAAGTATAAAAACTAGTATCTACATTTGAACATATAGTATACTGCAAGTGCAAAAATAATATATAAATAGTATAAATAGTAATTTTATGTTCACTTAAAGAAAACTTACAAGTATACTTGCAGTATAAACTACTAAACTACTGAGAGTAAACTTCAGTGTGTACTTTCATAAACTAAAAATGTACTAGTATTAACATAGTAAACTACTAGTATACTTATAAGTTCACTTGTAGTACAGATGCATTATAAATGAGAAACCTAGTTGTGTATTTAAAGTGTATTTTACTAGTACACTTAAACGAATGCTTTTATATACTAAAAGTGGGCCAATTTAGTCCCAAGCAGCATTGAAATAGTACACTTACAAGTACACATTGATATTAGTATACTTACTACATAAAGTATACTTAAAAATATATACTTGATATATATTTGATAATATATACTTGAACATTACTTGAGTATACTTCATAAACTGAACTTGAAGTATACTTCTTTTTCGTAAGGGTGTCCATATGACGATGTATCTTTCTGGAGATGCTGGATGTCTGAACATATCTGCAAAGAGATTCTTCCTGACTGTAAAGCAAAGATAATGCTGTAATCTTAGCCTTAGTTGTTTATCAGCAATTAAAAGCATACTTCTGTCAGTCTAACAGTGTGTTTTGTATCTGGAGGCGCATAACTTTGTTGTTTGATGTAAGGAAGGACACACTGATTTACTCCGCAGCTCTTTAACCTTTTAGCCACATCATAACATGAGATAGAGATACTGGATTTGGACTAAAGTAAATTGAAGTTGTTTATCTCAGTGTAGTTGCATAATATTGCTTCATACCTATGACATAACAAAGATGCAGGATTGCCTGCTTTGAAACCACCTTTGGATTTTAGGTCAGCAAGATGATTAGATCTCTAGTCAACTTTATTGACCCAGTGTCATGCATAGCCTTCTTAATTGCATTTTAATAAAGTATTGCATGTTCGGTGATGTAGAGTATTTATGCCATACCGTGCTTAAAAGCCCAAACACATCACCTTATATGCCAAGTTTTACTTCATTTTCATGAAGCTACAGGTCTGGAAATGTATCTATTTATTTATTTACTTACTTTCTGTAAAATATAGACACATGTACATAATCTAAAACCATTTTGGTCTGCATGATTTTTTTGTTGTTGATACACTCTTAAAAGAAATGGTTCTATCACCCGCTTCATATATGGAACTCCAAAATGGTTCTATATAGAACCATTTTAATAGGTTCCATAAAAAGAACCCCAAATGGTTCTTTAAATCCAAGTTAGATGGTTCTATTTAGAACCATTTAAGGGTTCTATATTATTAAACCAGTTAATTATATGAATACAAAAATATAACCAATCCAGAAAATTCCAAAAGTTTAAATTTATTCAATTGATTATACAAAAATATTAGTGTCATACTTAAAATTGCACATCCGTATACTCTGTATTATACAGCAAAACTTTTTTTACATTTAAGATGTTAAATTACATTCAACCATTTAGTTTGAATTATTTAATTTAAGCATTTTTACTTAGCAATAAGCATACATAAGCTTGTTTATGTACTGTATGTACATGTACAGTACTTAACTTTTACATGCATCTCTGAAATGAGGAAAAACAATACAATATATTTTTGATATTTGACAAAGCAGATAAAAAACAATACATGAACAATTAAAACATCTAATAAATAGCACTACAACTTACACAAGTTGACAGTACATTTTTAGTACAGGTATTGGTGTTCTTGTGTCATGCTCTTGTTTAAGTTTATGCATATATTTTTGAATAAAAGTCATTGTGCGACTGCAAAATAGACTGCAAACAGGCATTCCACAGCCTTTGTCATGTCTGCCTCCATTATAATGCTGACACTTTCAGTCTTGAGGAGATCAGGAGAGCCGTTAAACACTGGTTGGTGTAGGACCTTTGGGTTCCTGTAAAACAAACATTTCACCTTTTGAGTGTTTTTCACCAATTAACAGAAGTCATCAAATAGACCTAAAATTACCCCATAATTTACCAACAAGCCAACCTATGTGTATGACTATTTCTTCACTTAAACAAAATCTGAGATATATTTAATAATATCCTAGCTCTTCCAAGCTTTGTAATGTGTTTGAATGTCAACATTACTGATGACTGAAGAACATTCAACATGCTACCACGTCAGCTCCAGTTTGATTACTTTGAATTTCCTTGGTTCTTTCATTCTTGCGACTGAATCGTTCATGACAACACAGATATAACAGCTAGGCACGTGACACGCAAGAACCAACAAGACTCATAATTATTGATGTGGAGCTGATGTGCCACCCCATTGGATGTTATTCTCTTATCTATACATAGTCTAATTATAGCAACCTATCTTGGCAAATTTAATCTTTTTTTTTATCTCACTAACGTACCATTTGTATGTAACATTTTGCTTTAGAAGACAAGTATTAACCCCTGGAGTTGTATTTCTTTTATGATCGATGCGAAGTCGACGTAAACTACACATTCGAGTTAATCGATAAAATCGATTTATCGCCCAGTCCTACTGACTAATAAATTTTATATTTGCATGAACAGTTCCTTTAATTCAAGTCAAGCGCATCAAATGTTAATGAAAATACAGAAGACTTTATACTTACACTATCTACACAGTAGAGGAAGGTGGCGTTTTCTTTAAATAGTGCTGGCAATAAAATGAGTGCAGCATTCCTAACGAGACCTACAAACAGATACAAATTATTGTCCATTAGGTACAGAAATCAATTAAAGGCATAGTTTACCCAAAAAATGAAAATTCTGTCATCATTCACTCACTCTTGTCATTTTAAACTTATATGGCTTTCCTACTTCAGCATAACACAAAAAAAATATATTTTGGAGAATGTTGGTAACCGAACAATGCTGGTACCCATTCACTTCAATTATATGGACACAAAACCAATGCAGCAGGTCAATGGGCACCGCCATTGTTCGGTTACCATGCTTCTTCAAAATATCTTTTGTGTTCTGAAGAAGAAAGTCATAAAGATTTGAAATGACAAGAGGTGAATAAATTATGACAATTTTCATTTTTGGGTAAACTATTCCTTTAATACTTTCATTATTTTAATACATGTTTTCACTCATACAATTTATAGAAGCTACAACCTTTACATTGACAATGCAACGTTACACTGGGCATGGAATAGATAGGTTGGATGGGGAAAATGGTG